ATCCTAAGCAGGCTCCACAGTGCCAACACTGGGGCGAATGCGGGGCTCGAACCCATGAAGCTGCAAGATTATGACCTGAGCTGAAACCAAGAGTCAGATGCTTAACTGACTGGGCTACCCAGGTGCCCCTCAGTTTTCTTTCAAAATAAATGCTTCTTCACATATTAGGAAGTTAACAAGTTATTTTCCCTGAGAATTTCCCAGAGTGTTTTAAAGGATATGACTTAATCTCAAAAAGGTTATTTGGTTGGGGTTGAGACAAATATTTAAGAAAATTACACATATGAAATAAAAAGAAATTTCCATAACCATGTTGCAGTGAAACATAGTCCATATATAATGAAGCCACACTAGTAAAAGATTTCCTTTCAAACACAGGTGCAAATACTGGCCATTCTTGACCTTGCATCTGCAAATGCCCTTATGATTTCTGGTGGATCAACCTTAACCAGCATTTCTAGGCACTGGCTCCAGGTGAAGGTCCTGGGCTAGCTGCCTTCCTAAAGAGGGATGCGCACACGCATGCACATGTGCATACAGTCACACACTCCCAGTAGCTGCTGAGCCTGCAAGGAAGCCAAATACCACCTTGACAGCAACGTGGTGAATTGGGGCAGCTTGGGGAAAGGACAGACATCTGGGAACAGGATGATCCAACAGGGCCCATCATCTTAAAGGGGCACTTAAAATCCCTAAAAAGGACTGCAGAGAGACCTCTGTCCCCAGTGAGTGTTACAGCTGAGGAAATAAAAGTCCAAAGAAATTAAGAGACCTGCCCAAGACACCCCACCCACTTGTGCAGCACAGGAACTGGAACCCTGGCCCCCTACCCGGTCTCCTAGCATTCTTTCCTGCCTATACTGCTCAGAAGTGACTGAATCATCCATTTTTCTCCCACGTCCAAATATACCAGGGCCAAGAAAGTAGAGGTTGGAGGACATTAACACGTCTTTTCATTTACAAAACCGACATTCTGGCTGAGGTGATGAAGAGGACCCTTGGCTTCACCAAAGCTGCCTCTTGTCTTAACTGCTCCTGGTCAAGGCTGCTTCAGCACATCCGCCCTCTGGCCAGTCGCTAGCCAGTCACTAATGTGCCTGGAGGTAAACATGACAGAAACACTGAAACCTACCTTCACAAATTCATAAAGGCAAAAATGTTTTGAGCATCAAAATTATTTTCAGTTACTGAAAAAGAAAAGCAACACGGGTCCTCACTGCAATATGGAAGCTTTATGAACCCCTTTTTTACAGAACAAACACTTTTAGGCACACATGTTCTGCTCTATATGCAAATCTTCCCTGACTTAGTAATAAAAGTAGAAGTAAAAAAAAAAGCCCAATCTGATAGCAGCACATTTCTTTTCTGTGACCAAAGACTACTGTGTCAATGTTTATAGAGGTGAACTTACTTTGAAAGTAATTTAGCAATGAAATCATGTGGCTAAACACACTGATATTTATTTATTTATTTATTTATTTATTTATTTATTTATTTAAGTTCAATAAAAAGCTCAAGAAGTGAGTGGCCTCTCAGATGCAAGGGTTTTCTGTGCTCACACAAGCACACCCACATTTCTTCAACATACCATTTCGCAAGTGCTGTGTATTATTAAGAGGAGGCGGATTCTGCCAGGCACATAATTTGTATATTTAAGGGAGGTGTATGGAATGAAAAAGCGAAATATGTTAAATTTCAAAGGACTTGGAAGCAATGCTGCCTGTGAGCTTGTATTACAAATAGCCCTACATTATTACATACGCTATTAATGAGGCTGAGTGAATGAAAGTACAATTTGAATATGCATGACTCTACCCAATGAGCAGGACTTTTGTGTACTGATGAGGTTTTTTCCCCCCCTCCTAAAAAAGGATTAAAATTATTCTTAGAGAAGTATGGCTGCCCAGAGACCAGTAAAATAAATGGACTTAGACCAGAGTCATACTATATTCAGCTGAAATATACAGGTGCTAAAAGAAATGCCTTTGACTCTACCTACAATTGTTGAAACTTGTGCATAATCCTGTCCTCCTCCAAAAGCATATTCCTCAATTTCAAGTGGCTGCATCAATACAATTTTTAAACAAAAATAACAATTTTGGTGGAGACCCGTAAAAGTAGGCAAGGTTAAATAAACCTTTTGAGTACAAAGCCTTTACTTCCACAGTGAGGAGCACTAGTTAAAAGACTGGGGAATGGGTAAATTATTGCACCAAATGGCTGAGAATTAATCTCTGCTGACTAGCTGTAATCTAACGAGGCGTCTGTGTCCCAGGGAGCCCGCAGCATGTCCCTGGCGGTATGTGCAGTGTGTCGAGTCTGCGTGGCACCCTTTGTCCTCGCTCACAGGCGGCCTTTCCCCTCATTGTCCATAATATCCTCATGCATCTGGGACGCGTGGAATGCATTCATACTAACAGACTTACCATTGTTTTCTCTCAGAAGCTTTGTTGAGCAAAGACTGCATCACGGTTACTGATAATTATATTGCTTAATTAATCAAGACAAAAAAAATTTGCAAATCATTGCCTGGTTGCCAAGCAGGGAGATAAAAAATGACAACAATACAAGCTGAAGCAATATAACAAAAGTAACAGCTATCTGATCAGAAATTCTTATATAATGAAGCTATTAATGCTAAATCGGTTAATGTTAACATTGCTCCAGGTGTCTCTACTTAGATGCAAACAAAAAGGCTAACATTATGGATATAAAAGGCCAAATGTTGCCATGGATTCTGTAACCTGATAGAGAGGACAGCCTTTTCATTTGATTAGGGAATGCAATTTAAATACCAGGGACTGAAGCCAAACAAACAGACTTTCCCTCCACAAGCCTCTTGCATTCACCCTGGGGTCAGTGGTTGGTGAACAAAAGGTCAGCCACACTTGCCCTGGAAATGTCTGGATTAATTTTATTACATTGTAATGGTTTGTACTTTAAATGTGGGGATAACGCTAAATTTTCAGTTGGCCATTATTCTCTTCTTCCCTTTAGGCTTTTTGAATTGAAATATTAAGACAGCGATTTGCTCAATTCATCTTGTCAAAATTTATGACCAAATTTATAAAACTTACATTCTCTAAAGAAATTTTAAAAAGGTATGTTAGTACTTGTTTTCATGTGTTAAAAATTTAATACCTTTTTAAAAATCACTTTCAAAGAAAGTTTAAAGTGTCACTCTTCACACTATAAAATGAATTGAAATACCTTTTATATTTCTTTATTTACTACAAAAATAAAGGAGATGTTTTTAGGATGCTAAATGATGTTTTACAGGGCCATGTGTTGAAAATGAACTAATGAAGCCAGTTAATCCATACTAAATATTAAAGAACCACATTTTCCCGGTTTGGAAGCTATAGGACACTGAATCTAATATTAATGTTTTCTGCTGAAAACGTTAGTGTTCTTCCTGGACAGACACAAATGTTATTAGCACTCAGAGCCATTTTCTTACACGAGAGTGAAAACTTCACACACACAAAAACGTGAATCAAATATAACACCAAGGGGTCAGTTAAGTGTCTGACTCTTGATTTCAGCTCAGGATATGATCTCATGGTTTGTGGGATCAAGCCCCACGTCAGGCTCCGTGCTGAAAGCATGGAGCCTGCTTGGGATTCTCTCTGTATCCCATTCTCTGCCCCTCCTATACACGCATGTGTGCAGTCTCCCTCTCTGAAATAAGTAAACAATAGGAAAAAAAAAAAGAAAGATAACACCAATATTTACTATGAAGAACTTGAGGCATCTTCACTCCCTGAATAGAAAAGAGGATTTTCTTTATGTCAGGCGCCTCACCGGCCAGAGTGAGACTTTCCTAAATTCAGAAGGTAACCCACACTGTGTCTAGACTGAGAAATGATAAGCATGTTACACTTGGGATTCATTATTTACTCTCTTTTCATGGTAGTGACTGTAATAGAAAAATAACAGCAGTAATAGTAATAATATCCAACAGCTTTTACTCTGAGCCAGCTACGGTTTGAAGCACCTTTCATTTCTTAGCTCTTTAATGCTTACAGCTTTAACACCAAAGATTATATTAAAATCCCAGTAAATGACAGTTACCGCTTATTTTAAAGCTCAAAAACAGAGGGTTTAGAATGGTAACTTTTAACCTCTTTAGTAGAACAATTTGGAACAAAAATGAAGATCACACTTAATACCAAGCTAGAGCATGAAGTTGTTTTCTTGAGGAGTGACTTAACTATGCCTAACATTTAATTAAAAACTTAAAAATGAACCCTTCTATTAATAATTCCAACACAAAAACAAGTCATTATATAAAGCATGGCTAAAATACCAGTAAAGGCATGGCAAGGATCGAAGCCCCAGCCAATTTACTACAGGGCACATAACCATTGGATTGTTCCAGCCATTCCCATGATCGATACCAATTGACATGGTTGCATTGATCCAGTGGCAAGGTGCTTCAATTGTTAAAAGTCATCACATGGGCTGTGTTGCAGAGGCCTAACCTCTTCACAGACATGCCTGCAATCCTTCAGGATTGACCCCTATTAGCAGCAGTCAGAGGCTCGGTGAGCAGTGCCTGTTTGTCATGCCAGGTCGAATTCTGTACCCGTGGCCAGCCACAAAATGCTTGATGTGACATGGGGTTCTTTCAACTTTTATTATTATTATTATTATTATTATTATTATTATTAATCAATGTGTCCCAGATATAAAATTAAAATTTTTTTAATTAAAAAAAATTAAATTTAAAACATTTAAAATATCATGAATGTGTTTATGTTCTAATTTTTAAAGAGTCTAGTAATAAAATACAGAATTCTGTGCTCATGAGGAAAGATACTCTGAAAATCTCAATTCATACTGAATTTCTTTATAGCATGTGTAATTCAGATACATGTGAGACATTCACCAGTTGGACAAAAGTCCCCTTTAACATATTTATATCACTGTTTCTCAAAAACAGTGAATTGTATGGCAAATGCTGTATGAGTCAGCGTGATAATGCAGTGAAAACGTACCTCGGGTTTCTTCGTGATCGCGATAAAGAACATGTGATTCTTCACTGGGTAAATAATGATTGAAACGTCTCCAAAGGCAGTCGGGATAATGCCCCTGCGGTAGTCCCTGGAGTGTTCAGACCAGACGATGTGGACCTCGTCATTCCCCAAGTGACGAAGCTGCAATGGCCAATTGGCTCTTTATTAATCAGAGTGATAACAGCAGTTTATGAGGGGTCGTGGCTTACAAATTGAATTATAATACTCAGAGGCAAAAGTATTTCACTACCAAACAAAGGTATAACACTGCTGTCTTCTATGAGGATTAAAAAAAACACAAGTACATGAAAACACCTCTCACTTTTTATGAACTACACTAGCATTGAGATGATGCATAGAAGCACAGAAGGTACGTTATGCCTGGATGGGGACAACACCTTTTCGAGGATTTTGTTAAATTGAATTTTACTCTTGCATTAAAGCCTTATGTTTCATATTGCTGAGCGTGTTTCTAAACAATTAACAACATGATCCTTTTATTCCATATTACAATACGGCTTCATAACATTCTTAATTTGATGGTTATTAAGAAAAAAATTTGAATACAAGAGAACATAAGCCACTCTAACACAATTACCAAATGTATAAGAACTAGATTTGTGACAAAGGTTTAAGAAAAAGTTTGCATAAATTACCTTTGTTTAAGAAACTAATAAACACGACTTCAATTTAATAAGAACACTAGTACCTAGCCTTCAAAGAGTGCCTTCCTATCCAGAAAGTATGTTCGCATGTATTATTTTCTTTAGCCTTTCCGCGTACTCTCTGAGGCAGGAGACATCATCTTTCTGTTACGTGACAAGAAGGAGATGGGGCTCAGGAAGGCAAAGGCAGCACCTATACAAGGTGCATGAACAGTGAGCAGCACGGCGGGCCTGGCCAGGTCTCTCAGTGCCATTCCTACTGCTCACAGCCACCTAAGCCAGGTGTACTGCCACAGCTCAGATAGTGTGGCCCACTGTTTTTGTCATTTTATACACAAAGAGGCCATCAAGTCCAAAAACAAGTCAGAGACTCCTGGCCTCTCTGAGCAGGGGAAGGGGCCCTTTGAGACTTCCTCCCGGGCCAAGCTCTTCAGACGCAAGAACGTCTTTGATAAAGCTCCTGCATAATGACTGCACATCCTGGGCTGGAGAAAGCCACAGATGAAATAAGCCTGAAAATGTGACTAAAAGAAACTAGATTATAAAGACTAAAATGTTGGCCAAAATTGAAGTCCTACAACCATAAAAGCTGACTGGTGAAGGTCCTTGGACACCTATGGAAAATCTAAGGTTTGGTTCTCCCACACACTGCAGGAGAATGCTATCTACCACCACGAAAAAAGTATTTCTGGCTTCCTAGCTTATTTAATAGACGAACCCCCCCAAACATGACTAAATTCAGGGGCACCGTGTCTTTTGATCACAAAAGAAAAAACCAAGGTGACCCCCAACATGGCCTCCTTTCCATTTACAAAGTTAAAGGAAGTTGGTTTGCTGCAATGCTTTCTTATTCTTCACTCTTTCATGTTTCTGGGAATGACTGTGTAAGTCAATTTTTTTTTACTCTCAATTTTTTTTAATGTTTATTTATTTTTGACAGAGAGAGAGAGAGAGAGAGACAGAGAGACAGAGCATGAGTGGGAGAGGGGCAGAGAGAGAGGGAGACACAGAATCTGAAACAGTTCCAGGCTCTGAGCTGTCAGTACAGAGCCCGACGCGGGGCTCGAACTCACTGACAGTGAGATCATGACCTGAGCCGAAGTTGGATGCTCAACTGACTGAGCCACCCAGGCGCCCCTAAGTCAATTTTTTTTTTAAAAAAGACTTATGCCAGTACCTTTGCTCTAGGGAGGTACAGGTGCATCTGCAGGTGGCCCCTACAGTGAGGGGTGCCCGATTCAACTATTCTGAACATGAACTCTGGGACAAATGTAACTGTGGGTATTCAGTACGAGTCATGATGATCCAGAACAATTTAATGGTGCCTAAGACTTTCTAAATATAAAATTATCTAGTATGATTCTTTTTTTCTTCTTCTCCCCCTCTGACATGTAAAGGCTAGAAGGGTAGCAGGTGAAAGGTGTAGCCAACCCATTCTACCCATAAATAGTTAAAAGAAAAAAAAAAAAGACACTGGGTTCTCACAGCAACACTGAACAGCTCTCTATGTTTCTCTATTTCCACCTCTCTTTTCTCTTTCCTTTTTAATAGAACATGCCAGGCCCTCACAACACACTCCTGAAATTCAATCCTTTTGGAGTAAAAACATGGTAGCCAGCATCACCAGCAACACAGTAGAGGCATGTTTTCAAGGGAAATAGGAATAGTATCAAACTGAAATTTTGGGAGGAATTTAGACCGGCAAAAGTTAATTGTGATAGTGGGGCTACTCTCATCCTATAAAGAGAAGCAACCTTCTAGGTGGTTGTATGCCCCTTGATATAATGCTGGCACTAAAGTCAGAATGGGAAGAACATATCTACTGAATACCCTTCAAATGTGGGGCTACCACCTAATGCCAGCACCCTAACGCCTGTGATGGCTCCTCTCAATCCAGAAGTATAAGCTGCAAGGCATTAGGTAGTACAGTGATTACTGAACTTTAGCACTTACTGTGCCTTTCTCAATTAGGTTCCTCAATTATATAATCCAAGCAAGTCTTTCATAACTCTGTTTGGGCTGTAGTCTCAGAACCACAGCCAGGGAGACCTGTCCTCCCAGTGTGGCATTTTTGTAGGTAAGGAAAGGCTATTTTTGTGTGGCAATGATACAATATTCATTCTTTCAAAGCTGCTTTCAATGTCATGTGCCCCAGATCTCTGGACAAGTTATAGTTTCATTAGCTAACTCGCGAAACTCAGAGCTAAGGCCACAGGACCCACTGACTGATAGATCTGGAGCAAGGAGCAAACACATGCCCTCTTCCACCTCAGACAAGAACACAAGCAGGTGAAACAAGTAAAACTAACCTGGCCAAATTGTCCACCGTGTCAGAATATGAAGGAACACTCTGGAAACTTCCATGAAGCTTCTGGAAGCTCAGTTTAAAGGGGCTTTCATTACAGAGATGTCATTTTGTGAGTTTTGGAGAATTCAGAATCGAGGCCCCCAAACTGAAGTCCACCAGTGAGTTTGTTGCATGCACGCAAGTCAAGCTGGCACGACTCGTGTAATCTGGGAGAGGCTGATGAGTCTCATCCTGGGATGGAGCTGTCATTCATGCCAGCTACTGCTTCAGTTGCACAACAGGCTCCAGAACGCGCGGATGCTTAACAGGCTTGGAACAAATGCTCGGTTCTTAAGTCTTAAGAAATCAACCCCATGTCCTGCCACTTCTCGTCCTGACAGAGTTTTAAAGTCCCTCTGCCTGGCCCATTCTGCCTGCTGCTGCCAGGCGGCACGCACTGGTGACACTGGTCATGGTACACACCTAATAGGCTGACCTCCTTTCCCGACTAATTGCATTACATCGCCAGCTGGCTCCAGAAGGAGTCGTCTGTTTGATTGAAGAATTCCTGCTCCTCAGTGGGCCCGGCTGCTACTTTTACTAAGTAACAGTCAGGCCTGACATCCCCATTGTTCAGCTGACAGTGTGCCCATCCTAAAATCTAAGTTTTATTTGTAAATTAACCAAGAAACTTCCTGCCAGAACAGTGCTGCCTAGAGACTGATAATGTGGGCCTTTCATCCCTTTTCACTCGTACTGTATCACTGCCAATTTGTTTTTTATGCGGCTGGCCAGCCTGAGGCTATAAAAGCCTTGTAAGACATAAGTGCAATTATAGTCCTGGAGTCAAATGAATTGGACAAATCCAATAGCACAGCTCTGTCCCCACTCTGCAAACCCCTACAGCAGTTAGATTAGCTGTGAAAAATCTAATCTAGCTAGAGCTAACAAATTTCTGCAGTGAAGGATCAAGAGTTCAGTATGGGGTTGCAACCGGATTGCAGAATTGAAAAAGTGCCCCCATGACAGGGGCAGAAGAGAGCATGAATCACTTTAGAATTTTGCAGCTCATTTTTAAGCTGTTAGGGACAATTTAGTTAGAATAAGACAAGGAACTGTGGGCTGCTGTTACTGTGACTGATTTTCAGTCTGGCTGTGAGACATCCTGATAAAGAGAGTTTGTCACTAATGATGCTAAATCTAGGAGCTGCAAAAGGTATCAGCTGAATTTTGATTATTACAGTAGGGAATCTTTCAACCAGGCCAAGCCTTGCAACATTATTTATATAGTAAGGCACTGTATCAAGAAAACACGATGTCTTTTCTCAAAATAAATAAATAAGAGAAAGAAAGAAAGAAAGAAAGAAAAAAAGAAAGAAAAGAAAAAAGAAAAAGAAAGAAAAAAAGACAATCCTACTTAGGAAATAATTAAAAAATAGTTTAAGTAAACCTATTAACAACAATAGTTCTCAGTCATAAAAAAATCAGAATATGGCAACACATTTGCGGATTAGCAGAAATTTACAAGGTACTACAAATAAAAAGGATGTGAAAGCCTTGCCTAAGCTCTTGGTAATCTGAAATAGAGCAGGGTCTCCTTCACTAAGAACGCCACCACCAGGGAGGCCAAGACCTAAGACAGCTCCTCCATGGCTGAGGAAACAACACACGGCCAGTGGAAGGCCATGCTAACAGGTGGCCCAGACAGTGAAAGCCCATCATGCTTTGCACATCCCAGACACTTGGACACTGTGAAAGTTGTCTGTGATTGTGCCACAGTCTGAGTTCTGAAGTTTTATGAGCACCACTATCCCCGATGTAGGTGGTCTAAACATTTGGGGCTGCAGTGAGGAAAAAGCAAAACCGCAGAGAAAAGAGATGAGGCAGGTAATAGTGGGGTCTGCTGGCCAATATCAATCACCTCCTAATGAGTCAGGAGGAAAAAGACTCAATTAGACTGGTGGGCAATGATGAAGGCTGACCATTAGACATCTTAGACTAGTCACCATGGTAAGTAGTTTCACAGGCATTATCCATTTATTTCACAACAACCTTGGCACACAGGCTGTTTTCAATCTCGTTAAGTAGATGGGGAAACTGAGGCATGGGCTAGTAACTGGATACACAGTTAAGCCCAGGTCTGTTGGTCTCCAGACCCTGGCTATAACCAACACAGTAGGTCCTCCAATGGCAAACTTAGCTCCCGAATAAGCTGCCTTCCCATCCACTCAGGTGCTGTCTGCAGTTTTTGTGCATCCTTGCAGGAAGAGAGTGGGTGTGAGGTAAGGAATCCAGGCTTGCTCTGCCACCCACTAGCAGGCTAGCTACAGTTGTTCCTTTCATATGGAAACTCACAGAAGTGGGTCAGATTTCTAGGCTTGCTTTGCAGACTAAGATTCCTCTTCTGTTAAGGAACTCCTCACCTCTAAGAGAGAATCACCTGAAGTGAACACCATGGATATCAGAAAGTTCAGCATCATGTTCCCCTGGGGCGGTTCCTCAGAGTGGAGGAGGTTTCCTCTGAATTCTAGAGAAAACTATCCAGAAGGTCCAAGTTGAAAGAGAGACGAGGTCAGTGCCGAAGGTGGGACCCTTAGACTGCAGCATACTTGCACTTGTCATTTTCGCAGATGTTGCCCAATTGCCCCCAGCAAGCTTGAGAGGTGCCGGCCTTCTCAGCTCTCCATCAGTACAGGGTCATCTTATGACCTCTGCCAACCTGAGAGGTCAGCTATGTTATTTTCTGTCAGTTAATAGTCAGGTGAGAGAAGACCCAAAATTAACAACTTTTAAGCCCCTTTCTTTTCCTAAATCTTAATCTCAGCATTTAAGACTCAAATGATTGATTGCTTTTCATTTGTTTCTTTATCCAGTTTGCGCCAAGCTAGATATTTCAGATTAAACTACAACTGTAGCTTGAGAAGAGCAATACTGAAGCTGCATCCAGAGGAAAGCAGTCTCAGTGCATAGTTATGCCAAGGCCTTCGATCTGGACTAGGAGACCCTCACCCACAAACCAGGGAGGCTAAGTGTGGTCCTCAAAGAGGCTCCTTACCTTTTTGGTGAGTGAATCATCTGAGTCTGATGGCATCCGAGTTGAAACGTGGAAAATCACTTCCACAGTCGAGGTAGCATAGTAAGGGGCAGTCTGCCCCGTGCTGCCGTTGCGCTGAAGTCCACCCATGAACCCACAGTGGGTTGAGAGATCCACCTGATGAGGGTAACAAAGAGGAAAGAATGAGAGTCAAGCATCAGTTATCCTCATTCACCTAGCAGGAATGCCCATTTTTTGAGCAATCTAATTACTTTCATTTTTATAGCTTCCTGATGACAAACAAATGTAATACTAAGTTAGACAAAATTAAAATATGAAAGAAACATTAACAATGAAAGTGCTTTGAAATCCTACCAGCTTAAGAAAATCACCATCAAAAGTTTGGTGCATATTTCTTGGGGCGCATGGGTGGCTTAGTTGGTTGGGTGCCCGACTTCCACTCAGGTCATGATCTCGTGGTTCATGGGTTCCAGTCCCACATTGAGCTCTGTGTTGACAGCTCAGAGCCTGGAGCCTGCTTTGGATTCTGTGTCTCCCTCTCTCTGCCCCTCCCCCACTCATAC